ATGTGAACTACCTAATAATAAGACAGGCGGCAAATTTTGGATAGGATTCTGATTTAATCAACTATTGAGATGTCCAGCTTCTTTAGAAAACTATCTATGTTTGAGTAACTGCATGGAGTGGAGACTTGTAGGAGGGGAAGAAGAAAACAAAAAGAAAATTTTTAATCATTCAACACACAGTTAACTCTACACACAACTTGACAAATTTTTAGATTTTTAGTTTCTCAACAATTGCTTACTTTAGCTTATAAATTTCGATTTTCAACACAATTTTCAGTAGATTTAGGTTGTTTTTCATCATTTCAGTAGCTAAATTAGTTTGTGTATTTGCTTCAGTAATTTCATTTCATATAATGAACACCAAGTTTTTGAATTTTTGTAAGGTAGTGTTCTTTTTCTGACTAGCATTAGTTTAATGTTTATGATAAGTAGTGTTTTATCAAATAATTACTTTTATGACATTTACACTTCTTCTCAATTTCGAGCATGTTAGGTTAGCCCCTATTCATATTTGCTTTGGTGTTATTTAGGGTTAGACCTTTAATTCTACAATAGTTTAATTTTTAAATCTGTCTGTAGATAACAATTTAATTTGATAATGAATATGTTTAATTTAATTTGAACACATCTTGTTCTTACAAGTTATTTTAGTTTACATTTCATATAGTTCATTTAGGATCTGTTAACTTAAGTCCACAGTAGTGTTTAAGTCTTTGAAATTGTCCAAAGCAAATTTAGTAACCCATTCTACAGGAAGAAAGACATCCCCCCTCTTGCAAATCGTCTGTAAGTGCAAATTTTAATTGAAAACCAACGTTCTTCCTATCATCCGCAAGGAGGTCGACCACGAGGAAGAAGAACGTCATTGGAAAAATCCTTCTTTCTTGCTTTCAACAAAATATGTGACACACCCACATCTAGATTTTGTATATGTGAAGTCACTTGAGAAATTTTAAGAAAACAAATATTAATTAAACTATTAAGAGCATTAATTCATTGGTCTACAATACCTGAATGTAAAAGTATATTCATAATTTATGTCACCCTATTAGTGCTTGAATTAGAAAAAGGAAGGTGTCACTGACAACTTTGGAGATCTAGTATAGGGGATTTTATTAAATTCAAATAAGAGATTAGTATTTATTAGTTAAATTTTTTAAAAAATTAAGAATATAAATACTTTAATATTATTTGAATAAAACATCATAAAAATGGACTATAACAATTTTATTTTTATTTTAAAATTTTAATTTTTTAATTAAATTTTATTAAAATGAAATAATTTTAGATTTTTTTATAATTTTTTAAAAAATAATAATAAATGAGACTAAAATTTGAGATTAAAATATAAAACTAATAACATGGTTTATGTCATATCATTTAAGATATTAAAAAGTAGATCTTATACTATTTAGTTATTGAATTTTTTGTTGTTTAGGATCCATAATATTATATACATTAAACAATTTAATAACATGATATAAGTCAGGTTATTGGTCTTAAATTTTTGTTATTCCTATCATTATTTTTAAAAAAAGAATTAACTGACAAACACTTTTTGCATAACAAAAATGATGGATTTGGAGTAAAGCATGATAAATACCAATAAGGAGTTCTTTGTGTTGTTATTATAATAAATGCCAGTAAGCAGATGATATGCAAGTAGGCAATTTGAATGATTCCGAATTTCCGATCCTCAGACATTAACTCAATCCAAGTGGGTTCCCTTCCCTGTCTCACAAAGTCATTTGATTTTCTTTGAGGGTGTGTTTGGATTGGGGTTTGGGAGGGAGAGTGAGAGGGCTCTCTTTCTTTTGTTTGAGTTTCTTTGATAAAGAGGGCAGGAGGAATGGAGGGTACCGGAGCCAAAGTTAT